CTCCTGGCACAAAAATGATGAGAAACCCTACTCTAGGTCCCTCCTAACCTTCCCTCAGTCCTCACATGTGCTCAAGTTCAGACCCTGGAAAGAAAGGTAACAGCAGGTCCAAGGGCAAATGTTTACCACATGATTTCCTCATCAGAAATTCTCTACCAGTCCTCAATTTTCACCTTCTGTTCTTCTGCCTTCCAAGTAAGATGTTTCACCATCTGTTTAACCCCAGCTCAGACCAGGGTGGAGCTAGAGAGATACTTAGTGCCGTGCAGCACCCTAGTTCAGTTGCAACTATTATAACTATACACACACGCGTGCGTGCGCACACGCACACACACACACACACACACACACACACACACAGTTTAAGCAAAGCTCTTGAAAATGCTTGATGCAGTTTTCATTCTCAAACCTGTCTCCATATAAGAATCACCTGGAGAGCTGTTAAAAATCCTGATGCTCAGACTGGATCTCAGACAAATAAAATGAGAAGTTCCGGAGATGGACCCAGGAATCTGTATTTTTTACTTTATATTTAAAGCTCTCCACGTGATCCTCAAGTACAGACAAGGTTGAGAATCAGTGCCTGAGAAAGATGATATGCAGACTGAGATGACTTCTGTAAAAACTCCTCTGAAGTTCCAGGAGAATCCAAATTCCAATCGTTTTAGACTGAAGAATGCAGATGATTAAGACACCCTCCCCATGCATAAACATGCATCTATTCACTCATTCATTCAACCAATACACACTGAGTGCCTATAATGCCTCACAATGCAAGGGGTGCCAGATCCTCTTCCCTCCCCCTTACGCAAGCTGGAAAAGTGAAGAAGACAGACAAAAAACTGGTGAAACCTGTAAGGAATATTTACAAACTCTGCTAAGTGCTATCAGGAAACAGATGCTGGGAAAGAACAAAGTGGGGAGGAGATTGCCCTGCAGAAGCATTAACCAGCAGGCCCACCCAAGGATCACCTCACTTCCTAGGGATATGGACTTCTGCTCTGACTTACTGTTACTGTTTACTCTTGGTTGGGCATTTGATAATCCTGAAAGGATAGATATTAACTTGAAAAAAATGGTTAGCTAACAAGTAATTCCTGTCTGATGGCAATGCAAATACGTTCATCTTAGAAAAAAATACAATAGCCAGGTTGCACTTGTATTACCCTGTAGGGCGTTAATCAGGTTTATACCTAATTTAGCAATTCTATTCCAGTATCCTTTCTTTCTATGACTATAAATAAGTCTGACTCTCTATACTCTCTTGAACCAGTTTTACCATATGCTAGTCCCTTCATGAATTAATGAATCTAACAGAACTACTTTAGGCAGGATAGTAGGGACAGGCTCTGAATCCTGATGGTTGGAAAGGAGCCAGCCAGGGGAAACAGAAAGGAAGAACAGATCCCCAGGAACCCAAGATGGCAACATAAAATGGGCATATGGCTTACAGCAGGAAAGAGGTCACCCAGAAATGGCTAGAAGGCCACTGAGACTGGGGAACAGGTAGCGAGCGAGGGGTTGAGGTTAGAGATCAGGATGGAAAAGTAGGCAAGAACTAGATTGTGTAGGGCATTACAGATCAGTGTAGGAACTTTGAATATTGTACAAAGTACAACAAGCAAACTACCGGAGGGTTTAAAGGAGGAAGATGGAATAATCTGCTGTGTATTTTGAAAAGATCATACTTTCAAAAGTAGGAAAAGAGGCTGAGTATGGCGGCTCATGACTATAATCCCAGCACTTTGGGAGGCTGATACAGGAGAGTCAGGTGAGTCCAGCAGCTCAAAACCAGCCTGTGAGACATCACAAAACACCCCCATCTCTACAATAAGATATATATATTAGCCAGGCATGGTGGTGTATCCCTGTAGTCTCAGCTACTCAGGAGGCTGAGGCAGGAGGATCATTTGAGCCTATGAAGCAGAGGCTGTAATGAGCCGTGATTGCACACTGCACTCCAGCCAAGGCGACCAAGTGATGCCCTGTCCCAAAAACAAAAAACAAAACAAAACAAAAAAACAGTTGAAAGGCTGAGACAGGCCAATCACTTGAGCTCAGGAGTTCGAGACCAGCCTGGACAACATGGCAAAACCCCATCTCTACAAAAAATACAAAAATTAGTAGGATTAGTAGGAAGTGGTGGCACATGCCTGCAGTCCCAGCTACTCGGGGGGCTGAGGCTAGAGGATCCCTTGCACTGAGGAGGTCAAGGCTGCAATGAGCTATGACCATGCCATACTCCAGCCTGGGTGACAGAGCGAATCTCTCTCAAATAAAAAAAAAAAGGTGGAAAAAGAGATCACAATAGAGACAAAAGGAGGGGCTAGGGAGCCAATCCATTGTGGTATCCAGGTAAGTAGTTGAAGGTTGCCTGGTTTAGTAGGGACAAAGAGATAGAGGCAACAAGCAGTGAGATTGGAACCACACTGCTAGGACTTTTGATGGATTCTATTAAGGGGTGAGGGTAAAGAAGGAATCCAGGATGACTACTGGGTTTCTGGTTTGTACAACTGTGGATGGTGGTGGCATTCCCCAAAACGGAAAGGACTGGTGGTTAGAGGGTCATGCATATACACACAGGTGCATGGTATTCATGGCATAAGGGTATCCATCCACAACTCCCTGGGTATGACGCCCTGGGTGTGACGAGGCTAGCACACCCTTTCAGATTAGGTTCTCGCAGAGTGATCTCTTTGGCCTTCAAGATTTGTGTCATCAGGCATTAAGCTAATAGATTTCAAGCAACAAACTGGAAAATTCTAAGTGGCAGCTGAAAGTTTGGCCCAATCTTGCCCTAATTCTTATTCAACATATGCTAACTGCAAATAATTTATATTTAATCAATCTTTAAATGAAGGAAGATAATTCAGCATTAACTCTGGGTATATATAAATCTTCAGAGGTAAAAGCCAGCAATGGGTTTATAAAATAAAACTAAGAAAGCCTTATATTTGTGATAAACTGTTAATCCTTTACCCAAGTGATAACTTCAACAATCCTGCTCCCCGCCCTCAGGAAATTCAGCTGCCAATCTGGGCACAAATCAGGTAAAAGACTTAAGTCTAACTTAAAACAAGCAACAAAAGTTTATTTTGTATACAATAAAACAGCTCTAACTTTCCCAGGACAAAAAATTGGAAGATACTATAATAAAGCATTATGATCATTGACAATGGAATAAAAATTATCAGTGCCTACCACAAATCCAAATTCAATGTGATGCAACTTTCAATTAATCAAAGCAAATGATTATGTCTTACAGCAATGAACACTAAGCCTGCCTGTCAAATGACACTCCATCAAGAAACCTATTCCAAATGACCAAATTCTGTCATACCAAGGGATGCCTTTCGAGCCCACTATTTTGCCCATTCAGAAAATATTACATGATAAAAGATTACCATCAGCATCTTACTAAATAGAAAAAATTGAAACAAGGCTATTTTGCATAGAAATTAAGAGCATGGGGACTGGAAATAGATCCTGGCTCCAAATTCTACTAACCTTATGTTCTTAGGTAAGTAACTCAACCTCCCTAATGTTCAAATTTCCATATTTGTAAGATACGAACAACAGCAGCACCATAGTAGAGACTTGCAGTTGTCCTCTCCTTGCAGGCACAGGAGAGAACTGTGTTCTCCCATCTGCTCTGCGTTGAAGCAGATTAATGTGACAAGTTCTGGCCAACACAGTATGGGCAGCAATAACTTCAGTCATTTCTAGGCCAAAGCATTTAACTACTAGGGTGAGATGAGAACTGGTGTTGTGTTGGAGGTGCCACAAGATAAAGCAGCCAGGATCACATAGTCACCACGTAAAGGGCAGCTGCCCTGGGTCACACTGACCCACTGCAAAGTGGGAAATGAATCTCCATCTTGTTGAGGCACTGGCATTGTGAACAGCATTTGTTATCGCAGCTAATCCTAAGCAGTGCAAACTGACACAAATACCTAATTTAATAGGGTGTCATGAGGAATAAATGAAACAGTGTCTGGCACACACTAGCCCCTGATAAAGATTAGCATGATGACTGCCACCTCCTGATTGGTTAGTGTGAAGGGCTTGGTCTTCCACAGCCAGCCATCTATGGCAATCTTTTCAGCCATTTGGATTGTCCTACGTGGTTTCCATGAACTGGCCATAAATCCTGAATCCACTTGTATGTCAATCAGACTTCACAGGACAGGTGTGAATAGTTAAGAGGTTTTTAATCTCAGAATGAGAAAAAGGAAAAAAAGTTCCTGCGTACCTGTATGGACATATGAAAGTAATCTGTATCAGAGTGAATTATCAGAGGACCTTGGCACATCCCTTGAACTATCACCTTTTTCACAGATTTTTAAAACCAATCCTGAGGCAGTAGAAATATCACTAACAGTTGGGGGCTTCGCTTTTTGTTTAAATTGCAGAAAGTGCTCAAGCATATAGTTGGTTTAGGGCAGAGATGGCAAGATAAGAAAATATTAAATCAGAACTTTAAGAAGATAAATTCATTCTGCCAAAATTTTGGTAGCCCCCAGGTACTTACTAGCATCAGAATAGTGCTTTGGGAACTGAGAATTAAAGGCTGAGCACTGGCAGGGATGGGAAAGAGAGAAAAGGCATAGTTCCACTCAAACTCCCTTGTTACTCTTCCCCTAATCCCTAACAGAGCCTTCAATAACATTATAGATACCTCAAGTGGAAAATTAGACTCAATGTGATTATTTCCCACGGGCTCTAGAATTCCTGGCCCAATCTCATCCCGCTAAAGAATAAAATCTATTTTAACTGTAAATCAGTTAAAATGAACTCATCTCAGCTTACTCTCTGAATTTTTCCCCCATTTAAAAAAGAAAGAAACTAAGCTACCCACCTGCTAAGTTTTCTTATTTTACTTTGCAGAAGAGTTGGAAGAAGCAAGGAGAAATTCCACAAAAGTTTAAACCCACTAAAAATGGTCTTAAAAATGAGCAACTTGCCATGGACAATAAAACATATAAATGTGAGATACTCACCACATTTAATACTCTCTATCCGCACCGGGAGGCCAGATTGTGCTGCAGCAATTAATTTCAGGGCAATGTAAAATTGTGTTGGACCAAAATAACCAACCCGCTTTGCACCACACAGTTCTGTGATCTGAGAACAGACAAGAAAAACAATCCTGAACACCCAATTTCACCACAGGAAAATGAGATAAGATACATGATGAAATCTCAGGGTTTCACCTAGTGGCTAATCAAAACAGTCCCTCGAGAACCTATGTGTACCCAGTGGTCAATTTCCTCTTCCTTCCACTTGCAGGGAGGCTTTTGATTCAGATTACTAAATTCTACCTACGCACAATGTTTCAGAAGTGAGTCACTGATTATTCCTCCTCTTCCAAAGAGAAAAATAAAAGTGACAAACGCTAGCTGTTGCTCTGGTTACAAATGAGAGTGACTTTTCAGGGAGTGGATGCTAATGTTCAAAGTCTAGAAAGTCACTAGGGTGAAAAGAGAACAGATTAGTCATTACCACTACTCATGGATTATTCTAAATTAAAAGTGAATCAATTATTTTTATAAAGTCCTCAGGAAAAACAATATCCTAATCTTTGAAATTACATCTTGGGTGCTCAGTTCGAAGGAACAAAAAAGTTCCATACACACATTTTTCAAGACATTGCAATAATTGTCAGTTTCCATCCCATCACATAGAACAATAACATCCTCCTCCCCACCTAGATTGAACTCAAATGTTACTTTTCTGTACCTCCTTTCCACCTCACTGATACAGCTTATTTTCCCAGTATATTCTCAGAGTATTCTATCTAAGTATCTATTAATGTTCATCACATGATACACTGCCTTAGACTTGCTTCAAAATAAAAGGAGGAAGGGGAAGAGGTGTGGCACGTGGGTGAAAGAAGCATAACCAAAGTTAGTAATTGTTGAAGTTTGGTGATGGGTGTGTGCTTTTGAAAATCTCCATATTCAAATTTTTGTGACTATTTCCAAATTTATGACATTATAATTATCTGCTTATCTCTGCTTCCCATTAAAATGTCTTCTCTTCAAGGGCAGAGGACAACTTCCATTCATCTCCTAGCATAAGGATAGGCACCCAAGATACAGTCAATAAATTCTCAATCAAGTGAATGAAACATACCCTTAAAAATAAAATATCTCTGAGTTTTATAACATAGCCCTCATTGTGAATATATACATTACACATCTTACACATCTTAAGATATCCCACACATGGAAAAAAACACATCAACACTAGTATAGTTCCAACATCAAGATAGTTGTCTTGCAGAATAACTCCTAATATTAAGAAATTGTATTGATGATAGACTGGATTGGAAAAATGTGGCACATATACACCATGGAAATATGCAGCAATCAGAAATGATGAGTTTGTGTCATTTGTAGGGACATGGATGAATCTGGAGAACATCATCCTCAGCAAACTGACACAAGAACAGAAAATGAAACACCACATATTCTCACTCATAGGTGGGTGATGAAAAATGAGAACACATGGACACAGAAAAGGGAGTACTAAACACTGGGGTCTATTGGGGGGAAAAGGGGAGGGCCAGTGGGAGGGGGAGGTGGGGATGGATAGCCTGGGGAGAAATGCCAAATGTGGGTGAAGGGGAGAAGCAAAGCAAAGCACACTGCCATGTGCGTACCTACGCAACTGTCTTGCATGCTCTGCTCATGTACCCCAAAACCTAAAATCCAATAAAAAATTAAAAAAATAAAAATAAAAAATAAAAAAATAAAACCTCTTTCCTTTATAAATTAAAAAAAAAAAAAAAAGAAATTATAGGCCGGGCACAATGGCTCACATCTATAACCTCAGCACTTTGGGAGGCCTCAAGGAAGATCGCTTGAGGCTAGGAGTTCAAGACTAGCCTGGGCAACACAGAAAGACCCCGTCTCTATTTTTAAAAAAGAAAAAAAATAGTAATCCTTGGTATGTGGAAAAAAATAACAACTGCATTTTCAGTGATTGTTAATTTACTATCAAGTTAACTTTCAGTTGCTCCATTACCGTAACTACCACATCAAACTGGAAAGCTCTTTACTACAGATAACTGAAATTGCTGGTAAAATATTTATGGTACTTGAAGACTAACACCCTAATCTGACATTAGCAAACGACCTTATTTACCTTGAAAACTGTCCCTTGGTCCCATATCACCAGTAGAATCATTGCTTTGGAGCCAAAGTAGAATATATACACATAAGTGAGTAAAGCCCATAGGTTACTTTTCTTGCTCTTTGTACACCAAACCTCCAAGAGACATGCCAACAACATTCTGAAATATTCAAGCCTCAAGAAAGAGAAAAGAATTATAAGCCTTTGGAACTTACACATAGAGCCTCATAAGCCTAGGATTTCTGAATTTAAAACAACAAAAAAAAAAACACAACAGGTTAGTTCTGAAAGGTGTTTTTCATTCATCTGAAAGGTGTTTTTCTAAGTTTAAAGTCTCCATGGAAAAGCTCTAAGTTGTGGGCAGAAATGGCTAATGGTATCTAAAGAAAATAAGGTGGAAATAAAAAACAAAGTTTATTCCAGATACTCAATTAGTAGAGATCTTTTATATCATTGCTCCTTCAAATAGTACAAATCACTGAGCTTTCTTCAAAATAAAGGGAAAAAATGAAAAAATTCTACTCCTTTTCTTTAGTCTAAATTCCAAACCTGTAACACTTCCAGCTGGATCCATCTTAGGTTATACATTGTGCAAATTCCTAATGCAGAATAAGAACCTATGGACTAGTGTTTTCTCAGGTGGAAGGCAAGAGATGAAAAAAAGGAATAGACGAAATCAACTTCCTTACAGCTTACAGACATACACTAAATGGCTGGGATGCTGGATACAAATCAGAAAAATTCGCTGACCATTTGGAAGAAATCTGAACAAAGTTCTGGAAGGAGGTTGAAGGCCACCAAAATAGCTTCCCTCCTACCTAATTCTGCAAGATTAGGTTACTGTGCTGAGTAACCAGTCCACACATTCTCCAGTTTGCCTCAAATAATACTTTTTTTCCAGGCTGAAATCTAATAAATTTTCAGAACTGTTCAAAGGTTTAAATAAGCTTTTCTCTTTCAAGTATTATTACAATAGCAAAGACCTGGAATCAACCCAAATGCCCATTGATAATAGACTGGATTGGAAAAATGTGGCACATATACACCATGGAATATTATGCAGCAATCAGAAATGATGAGTTTGTGTCGTTTGTAGGGACATGGATGAATCTGGAGAACATCATCCTCAGCAAACTGACACAAGAACAGAAAATGAAACACCGCATATTCTCACTCATAGGCGGGTGATGAAAAATGAGAACACATGGACACAGAAAGGGGAGTACTAAACACTGGGGTCTATTGGGGGGAAAAGGGGAGGGCCAGTGGGAGGGGGAGGTGGGGAGGGATAGCCTGGGGAGAAATGCCAAATGTGGGTGAAGGGGAGAAGCAAAGCAAAGCACACTGCCATGTGTGTACCTACGCAACTGTCTTGCATGCTCTGCTCATGTATCCCAAAACCTAAAATCCAATAAAAAATAAATAAATAAATAAAATAAACAAATAAGTAAAAAAAAAAAGTTTCCTTAGAAATATTTAAAAATGTAAAAACTCTTAGTGGGAGGGCCTGGAAGAATTCTCCAAGAGCACCCCTATTTTCTACTCTCCCTCTGCTCCAGCTAGCAAAATCCAGATTCTTCGCTCTTGCCTCGACTGTTTCAGGTCCCATCCCCAGACACACACACCTTCGCACACCAGCTTCCATATTCTATGTAATAATTCACACATTAGAAATAAGATTTTGCTTTTTTAAAGAGAAAGGATGTTGTAATTCTTTAGAAACATTCTTTGAAAACATCTTATGCATCTGTGAACACATAATGATCCAAGATGTAAGCTATTCCTACCTTGCAAATCAATTTTGGAAGCTATGTTATCTTTTAAATCCCCCAAGATGCCATTTAATTTAGGTCTAGTAAGCCTACAATAAACTATAAGCCAAATCTAGTCCAGATGCTAAATGCAGGCTATATTGGCATAGGTTATGGCCCAGATCTGATTTGTCAGCATTCTTGGCCCACGGCCCAAAACTCACCCCAGTAGCAGGGAAGACTCAGCCTGCCACTCTGGCTCAGATGTAATCTAAAAAAGGAGAAGACTCTGGGCAAAAAAAAAAAAAAAATCAGGAACATCACTAGTGGAAGCAAGGATCAGCACAGCATCCAGAAACTATTTGGCAATATCCATAAGAATTAACAATTTACTTTTTGACCTAGCAATTCTATGGCTAGAAATTCATATTCCATTTTACATTAGCAAAATGACATATGTATGTGGTCATTAATACAGTATTGCCTAAGTCACAGACTAGAAAACACTTAGAGGTCCACCATCTAAGATATTAGTTTAATTAATTGTGGTTGATCCACACAATGGAATTCTAAGCAGCTCTAGTGGACATTTGCCGTATCTGTGACTTCAGCATCTTTTGAAAAGCCTTTCTCTATTTGCAGAAATTTCACCTATTACAAGTCCCACCTCCCAGTTTAAAAGTTGAGAATAAAATTCCCAGACTCTATTGAAGCTAAGATGTAAATGTGTCACCTAGTCTCCGCTAATCAGACACATCCACACCAGACTTTGCTTTAGAAGTGAGAAATATAAGGCAAGAGGCTCTGCTCAGAGCTTCTACTTTTGCAGGTGTCACTGCTAGGCTGCCTTCCTCATGCAGGAGTAGAGGTAGAAGCAGTTGTACTCAAGTCAAATACCTAGCATCTGCTGTTCAGTGGAGGCAGCAGCATGGGTGGCTTCCACTTAATACTAATACTATGTGTGTCTTGGGGCTTTGTTTCTGTGCACTCAGATGCCAGCCTGTTCCTGCAGCCCTCCAAAGGGTCCCAGGAGTTATCTAAAATCCTAATCCCTTTTTGACTTAACCTTCCAGGCTGGATTCAGCTGTTTGCCATAAAAACCACCAATTAACAAAGAAAGAGGAAGCTCTTTAAGTACCGATATAGAAAAAATCATCATGCCAAAGCATTAAAAAAAAAAAGCAAGGGCCGGGTGCGGTGGCTCAAGCCTGTAGTCCCAGCGCTTTGGGAGGCCGA